TCATGCATGTATAGCCTGCTTAAATGAACTGAAGAGTTATTTCAGACATCTTTTCACCTGAACAAGCCCTTGAAAATAGTACCGATCAGATCTTTATCAACAGATTCCATTTTTTTGGAACCTTGATCAGAATCCTTCACTAGTTTCCCATTATAAGCCTTAAAAAGCAAAAACTTTTGAAAATAATGTTGTAAGACTCAAACTAGACTGGACAGTTGGGCTGTGAAACCTGGGAACTGGAAGCTATTCTGGTGTTTTGATACTCCAACTTTTTAAATAGTACTGGTGTTTACGAAAACTCTGTACTAGAACACCATTGATTGGAACAAAACTCGGAAGAACTGTTTCATTCCTTCACTTATTTAATGCCTGATTTTCTATTTTATATACCATCAATAAATCATGTCCATTAAAAAATATTTAAATAAATAGCATCAGTATGACAAAATAGTAAATCTGGAATAAGAATATGAAAAATAGTATTTGATATATGAAATCATCAGCAAACAAACAGTTTAGAAATGTGAAAGAATGAAGGAAAATTGAAGAAACTCACGAAACTTCTTAGAGTTGTGCATCGAAAGAGTTGTGAAGCCTGTGGATCCGAGACTTGGAATACTAAACCACAACTATTGTCATTCTTCTGATCTATTTAGCTTTCATACACAACTCTGCATTAGAGATTTTGATCCACTGAATCAATTTTTTTTATGTTTAAATAGAAAAAGTGCTCAAATGAAGTAGATTAGAAAGAAAAATCCAAAATCTCAAAGCCCTAACCTGTTGCAATGGAGTTGATGCCATTCTTCTAGCTACTTCAAATCTCCAAAAACCCTTGCAATGTGATTAAATCATTGTTTACTTTCAATTCCATTATCTATATCATGTTGAGAGGGGCTTTTAACAGTCGGCGACACAACCTCTGGCTTTGAACAGTTGGCGACGCAACCTCTATGTGCTATGATTGTTGCGTCTGTTCTCTGTTTGAAATGTAAGTGGAGAGAAGCAGCCTCTCTTCTCCTGATCGTCATAATCCGCACTCTGTCAAAAGCAGCAATCCAGAGAAATGTAACCTGAATCTCTCGTCTGATGAGGAGGATTGCTATGTTTCGGATTCTGAAACTGAGGATACTTTGAGCCTTGGCAGCATCGACCTCTCTCAAACAAAGGACCCCTTTGAAGATGACAGTCTAAACACTGAAGTGCTGTTCCAAGAGGAAGACGGTTGTGGCTCTTTGTTAGGATTTCAAGTGGAAGCTCCCTCCCCCCCGCCAGGATGTACTTCACATAAGGTTTGTTTGGGTTCAACGGCTGTTACGGAAGTTGCACAGGAGACATCTACTCCAACAGATAAATCCACTTGTGGACTGCAACATGCTCAGGTTATCTATCTAGGGGATCAGAACTCATTACTGTCGTTCCACGCAGAATCACTGGTTAGGGGCAACCCTCAAAGGTAGCTTCGGCTGCATTGGTTAATACAGATTTGATTGAACCTAAACAACTTCCAAAATTGAAAGGAGTTAGTTTTCATAGAAAACTAAGGAACTTGAGGACAAAATTGAAAGCCTGGAACAGGGACCAATTTGGGAGGTTAGAGGATTTAAAATCTTCCTTGTTGACTCAGATTGAAGAATTGGACAAAAAGGAATCCCAAAGGACTATGAATGCACAAGAACGGGAGTTGAGAAGGAATTTAACGAAGGAATTAGAAGAGGTACTGTTGCGAGAAGAGATTTCATGGAGGCAAAAATCAAGGTTTAAATGGATCAAGGAAGGAGATGGGAACACAATTTTTTCATGTGATGGCCAATGGGAGGAGGAGGAAAAATTTTATAGGACAACTTGAGATTGATGGAGAGGAAATCTCCTCTCTAGAAGAGATAACCAGATGCATTGTAGATCATTTTAAGTCAATTCTGAGAAGACCTCTTGATTGTAGGGTGGAAGTGGATGGTCTAAATTGGCTACGTCTTTTTGAGAGGGAGAGGGGATGACTGGAAAGAAATTTTGAGGAGGAAGAGATCAGACAAGCAGTTTTCCTAATGGATAGATCTAAGGCTCTTGGGCCAGATGGATTCATGATGGCCTTTTATCAAGATTGTTGGGACATAGTTAAAAATGATTTATTTGAGGTCTCCAGGGAGTTTGAGGATAATCATGTTGTTAGCCCTGGAGTCAATGCTACTTTTGTAGCTCTTGTTCCCAAGAAGGCTGTCGCTAAACATCCTAAGGACTTTAAACCAATCAGTTTGGTGACTAGTGTTTACAAAATTTTGGCTAAGGTCTTATCCTTGAGGATTAAAGTAGTACTTCCCTCTCTAATTAGTCAAGGTGCGTTTGTACAAGGCAGACAAATAGTAGATCAGATTTTGATAGCTAATGAATGTGTGGAGGAGATGAGGAGATCAGGTAAGAAAGGCTTTGGTGGACTGGAGCTTCCTCTTAGAGGTGCTAAGTGTGGATTTGGGGAAACATGGTGCAAGTGGATCAAGGGTTGTCTCACTTCTTGCCATTATTTTATCCTTGTCAATGGAGTAGTTAAGGATTTCTTCCCAACTTGTAGAGGCCTAAGACAAGGTGATCCACTCTACCCCTTTTTATTCACTCTTGTTGCTGATGTGTTAGGTAGATTGATATCAAAAGCAGATAGGGTGGAGGTTGTGAGTGGTTGGAGAATAGGAAGAAATAGTGTGCCTGTGACTCACCTTCAGTTTGTAGATGATACTATAATCTTTTGTGAAGGAAGCGATTTGAGGAAGGTTGAGAACCTTAAGAGTTTAATTAATTTTTTTGAAAAGGCCTCAAATCTAAAAATCAACTTTGAAAAAAGTTGTGTGGTGGGAGTCAATATGGATGCTCAAGAAATAGAGGCTATTGTAGGTTGCTTAGAGTGCTCCACCTCTTCCTAGCCCTTAACTTATCTAGGTCTTCCCCTAGGAGGTAACCCAAAGGAAAGCCACTTTTGGATTCCTGTTGTGGAAAAGTTTGGTAAGAAGTTGGCAAGCTAGAAAAAGAATTATATCTCTGTGGAGGGTAGAGTGACTTTGATCAAATCCACACTTGCTAATCTGTCGGTCTACTTTTTGTCTGTCTTTGAGATTCCTGCTAAGGAAGCTAAGAGGTTAGAGAAAATGATGAGGGACTTCTTGTGGGAGCCGGGGCAAGAGAAGAAGGATCATCTAGTTAGATGGGAGATAGTTAGTCGAAGTAAGGAGGAAGGACGATTAGGAATAGGGAATATCACTTTCAAGAATGTAGCCCTTCTAGGTAAGTGGTTGTGGAGGTGGCCTTTAGAGAGGGAGAGGTTATGGCACGAAGTGGTGGCAAGTATACATGGCTATTCCGGAAATGGTTGGGATGCAGGGGTATCTAGATAGGCAACTCTTGCAACACTTTGGAAGGAGGAATACTTATCAGTTTCTGAGCTCCTATTGTTACTTGATTCTGCTTGCCTGGACCCACTAAATCCTGATAGGAGGATTTGGACTTTGACTCCGAAATGGCTGTTTACTTGTGCTTCTTTCTTTAATTTCCTCTGCTCCAGTTCTTCTCCTCGAGCTTTCCCTGTTAAGGAAGTTTGGTCTAGGCCTATTCCCCCAAAAATTGTTGTATTTTGTTGGGAAGTTTACCACTTATTGATTTCTTGTCCTTTTGCTGCAACCATTTGGAATTGGGTATTTGATTTGTTTGAGTGTAGGTGGAACTTGCCAGCTGAGGTAAATTTGTTGTTTTCCCCTTCTATCTTTGTGTGGACCACAAGAAGAGGGAGAGTCATGTTGAAGTGTATAAGAGCAGCTCTCCTTTGGACTATTTGGGAAGAGAGAATTTTTCAGGAGAAGGAAAGAAGCATTCTTGAGGTCAAAGAGTGTATTGTTACAAGGACTATTTTGTGGCTGAAATCCTTAAAGCTCTTTGAAGATNTTTTCAGGAGAAGGAAAGAAGCATTCTTGAGGTCAAAGAGTGTATTGTTACAAGGACTATTTTGTGGCTGAAATCCTTAAAGCTCTTTGAAGATTTAATGAGGAATTGGTCTGCAATTGCCCTCACTTCCTCAACGAAGCCTAGAGTCCAAGTAACTTGGACTCCGCCGATGGAGGTAACCCAGGACCGTCTGGGATTGGTGGTGTACTGAGAGATGAGAACAGCAACATTATTGCCTTTTTTTCGGGACTGGTGGGAATAGGAGACTCTGTGAGGGCTGAACTTCTAGCTGCGGCACAGGGGGTACAAATTGCCTATCAACTCGGGGTGCAAAACTTAATAATTGAAGGAGACTCCAAGGTGGTAGTAGGATGGTTGGCTGACCCCGGTACCGTCACTTGGAACTTTAAAGATATTTTAAAAAAGGTTAAATGGCTATTGAGGGGTATGACAGTTAGAGTTCAGTGGCTGGGTAGATCGGCTAATGCCTTGGCTGATTATCTTGCTAAACAAGGGTCTACTTGGGTTTCATTGTATTGGGCTTCATTGTAATTTTCTTTTTCCTTTGTTATGTTCTTTAACTAAAGGGTTGATGGTTTCTTCCATCTCCCCTCTTTAAAGGGGAGGTAGCATCTCGTGCCTCTCCCTAAGTTGTACTATCTTTGACTTTGATTTAATAAATCTGAATATTCACTGATCAAAAAATGTAAGTGGAGAGAAGAAGACGAAGTGACACTTTCTCTGTTTGATTTTGTAACCGGGAGTGGTATCAAATACAATATAAAGGCATTTGTAAAGTGCCTCTACATCTACCTGTCGCGGTTGGCTTTCTATGGAGGCACTTTTTACCAAATGCCTCTCTGTAAAGCCTCTAAAAACATATGTTTCTAGTAGTGGATTGTGCTTGAGGTGATATAGGATCCAATTTATCTTCTTCTTGCAAGCCTTAAATGGAGTAAGAAAACCCATTTTCTTTTGTATTTAGGTATCACAATAACTATATTTTTGGGCTTGTTCTCAGTATTTGAATTGGACTCACTTCTATAATTTTTTGTCCATATTTTAACTTTTCAAAGGTTGCTAAGCAAAAGGAGAAAGAAAATGAAAGATCTCTAGAGCAGGTATATATCTGCCTTACCTTATCTGAGCTCGTATTATTCAATTGGTTTATCATCAGAACAAACAGAAAAAGGATTGTATGGTTTTGAGGCTTTAGCATGCTTTTAATTACTGAAAATGATTGTATTGAGTTATAAAGAAAAAATGATGTATGTAGTAGCCGGTATTCAAATTGTACTGATTTTCTAGACTTCCTGTTGCTTAAGGAAATTGAGGGAGAGGATGATGAAATTCCAGAAAAAGTAGTTAATCTGTTTTAATGGTTGCTTTTGATTTTCCTCTTATTGTTGGGTGCCTCTGAATTTATATTGTGTGTATTCTATGTTTTTTCCTTCTCTTTTTGGGCTTCTTCTCAGTGTTTTATTTGAACTCACTTCGATAATTTTCTATCCATGTTTTTACTCTTCAAAGATTGCTAAAAGGAGAAAGAAAATATGAGAGAGAGAGAGAGATGTAAATGCCCTGAAATTTGTATTCAAGTTTTTTATGTATCTGCTTTACCTTCTTATCTGAGGCTCTAGTACTGAAAATCATTGTTTTTACACAGAAAAAATGATATACCTAATAGCCAGTATTCAAATTGACTCATTTTCTGGGCTTCCTGACATCGGTTTTTCTTTTTAAAGGTAATCAAGGAGATTGAGGGAGAGGATGATGGACTTCCAGGAAGGGTAGAGGAGACTAAATACATGGTTCTTACCTTTTTAATCTGTTTTAATAGTTACTTTTGGTTTTCCTCTTATTGTTAGGTGCCTCTGAGGCTCTGAATTTGTATTGCATGTGTTTTATATATTTAATTCATTTTTATGCCATTATAAATTAGTTGTTGTAATTAAGAATTTTATAGGGAGGAAAACAGGGAAGGTTTTACCTTACAGTTTTGGGGTTATACCATGCCTTTAATCACTGAAGTAGTTGTTCTATTCCAGTTCTTAATGCAGACAATAAACCTTGTAGCCAGTGTTTACTTACTCTCATTTTTGTATCGATTTGTCCTTGGTTTTACTTTTCAAAGGTTTCTAAGGGAAAAGAGAAAGAGAATGACAGATGTCAGCAGAAGGAACGCCAACCAGAATGCAAGGTTATTACTTTTTATTTTTTCTGTTGGTTGCTTTTGGTTTGATATTTGGAAGATTTCTGAACTCATTTGATTCCTATTGCTATGATAATAGGTTAGCCAAATTTTGTAGTGCTTCTTTGTTACCAAAGATGAGCCATTATACTACATTCACTCTTGTAATGTAAGGACATCAGTGAAGAAATAGAGAGAGAGAGTTCAAATACTTTATGATCACTGGTTCTTTATTCAATGTATCAGTACTATGGCTCTGACCTCTTATTATGAAACCTCTATTGTGATATCTCACTACAAGTTTTATCTAGCTAGTGTTTGGCAATGCAACATGGCTTCGGTACGGGTCAGTGTAACTGTGTAAGATATTGCCAATGTTTCCCACATGAGGCAGGGATGTGGGAATTGAAGTGTCTATTTATTATAGGATACGATTCATCCTCTCCAAGATATTGTAAAATTGTAATGTTGTTTCTCACATTCTTGAATTTGTAATTATTAATTGAATATTGCATTTTATTGGATTTCATTAATATCTATTTTAGGGCCTTTCTGCCTCCATTAGTCAGAAAATATCATTGTAGATGGTAGGTATTTCTAATATGATGCTGTCATTGACATTTAATAATTCCTATTGCCACTAGTTTTTATATAATATGTTCTAGGATCAATATTAAACTATTAATCCATTTTTATATTTCTTCAATAATTGTTGTAGAACCACTCAAGGAAAGGACGCCGTAAGTTTGGGAATGATAGTAGACATAATCATCCTCAAGAAAAGCATGTGGTAGGACCACCACTAGAGTTTAACTTTTTGGGCTTGCCAATCCGACCGGTAACATTTCAATGTTCCCTTATTAATATTCTATTAGTTTCATTTTCTTTCTTCTTTTCATTTCAAATAAATATACCTACATTTATCCTATACATTCCTGAAAACATCCACCTTTAATCCAACCATAAAGACCTGTATGAGCAAATTATATTGTTAATCTCTTTGCAGAATTTTCTCACAGATAAGTATTAAGTTGTTTCCCTGGAACTAATAGTGTAATTACTCTAAACTTATCTTAAAAGGGTTTTCTTTTATCACAGGGAGAGAAAGAGTGCCAATACTACATGCGTACTGGCTCTTGCAAATATGCAACCAACTGCTGGTTTCATCATCCTGATCCTACTACCGCGGAGGACGATTTTCTTTATATTTGCAACAACAGTGTCTCCACCCCATTATGTTCATTAGGTTCATCTGAACATGCTCCAACATCTTTCTCTTTGCCAAGAACCTCAAATGAGACCATTTCCTACATGGAAACTTCCTCATCATATGTATCAGTGCCATTTCCTGAGCCCCAAGGACTGTACCAAAATTCTGAATGGAATAGTTGTCAGGTAAATTATGTTCTACTCGCTGACTAAATTAATCCACTGAACAAATTTTTAGAAATTCTGTTTTAAAACATTTTTTGTTTTGGTGTTATCTGTTTTCTGAAATAAGTTTCATGGTTCTTTTCCCTTCCTTCCCTTGATATTTGAGTGGTTGAATATGGTTCTTCTTTTCTGAGTCAAATATTTAAGTTAAACTAGTTGTGTGGTCCTCTATTTTGTTTTAGGTATCATGAAAACCTAGTTGCCATTATTGAGTAATCTAAGCCTGATGTAATAACGTGCTAAACATAATATTATATTGGAAAGGATGTTGAAATGAAAAAGGAAAATGGTATATTCTGATTCATGAGAGGTAAGTTACCTACATACGTTATATTCCTAGGATATTCTTATCAAACTTTATTTAACATTAATAGGTCTTTGGTTTAATGGTTTTCTCCAGTAGAGGTGCTTTTTTAGGGGTGGTAAAAAATCTCAGTGCTAGGTTAGGCCGATATGATTATTTTTCCAGGAACCACTAAATTATGTTTAAAGATAGTGGGTATAACATCTTTGCTACTTTCTTCTTTCGTTATACAATTACATGCTGATTGTTTGATTGTTTAGAGCTCACAGTGTCCACAAGAAGGGAATATTCGTTCCCCATCAGTTGTTCTTGAGAGCAATATAACAAAGATAATGGATGGCTCTTCACATCAACAAAAGATGCCCATCGAAGAAGGCCCTGTTGGACCTAATCCTGCAATTATTAGAACACATAACCGGATGTGCAAGAATCACCATCCAAAGAATAGAGCCCCAAAATTACCTGTTTGCAATCTTAGTCCCATGGGCCTGCCATTAAGACCTGTAAGTTGACTCTCTTATGTTAGCTTGTCATATGACTGAAATATTTGATTTCCTACTTGACTACATGAATGATTTTGTTGTCTTATTCTGAAGTTATGAACACTTGAAGCTTTTGCAATTACTGCACCCTTTTACTTGCTTGCAGCATGTTGTAGGAAATTGAGGAACATTAGAGAATCTAGTAGTCCTGCATATGCTTATCAAATGTATTTGGGTTTGGATTCTATACAATCCATGTTGCATGGACTCTTCAAAATGGGTGACCTGTCTGAAGTATCTGTGCCAGTAGGGGAGTTCATTAGACAGTTCAAACTGCAAAACCAAACCGAATTTGCAGTTTAGTTCGGTTTGATATTTTCTTAAATTACGGTTTACAGTTTTGTCTTGGTTTATTGGATTTTATAAACCAAACCAAACCAAGCCAAATCGTATGTATATATATATATATAATAACTTCTTTTATTTTATAATGAAATCATAAAAGTTTTAATTTTTAAGTTTTGAACTTTTATCTTTTAGTTATAAGTTTTTAACTTAACTCTCCAACTCTCTCTTCTAACCCTCGACCTCAAGTGGGAAGTTGAACTATCGAAAAGCTCTAGCCTCTCAGTCTCTGAACTCTCCACTCAACACCCTTCTGCCACCGGCTGGCTACTGTCCATTCATTGTTGCCACCCCACCATCACTGACTCACCATTCCTCAGCTGATCTTCATCGACCACTGGTAATCCCTGTATCTGCAACTGTGGTCTTCCACCTACTGATATGGACGCATTCATCGGGAGGAAATATCATCGCCGCCGGCAGCAGCAGTGATCCGATGTTCTCATCCAATTCGGCAGCAACAGAATTCTTATCAATTCGGCAGATTGGATTAGATTACCTTATCTTATTATATTAGGATTAAGAGAGACTTATCTTATTAGATTAGGATTAAGAGAGACTTATCTTATTAGATTAGGATTAAGAGAGATTATCTTACTAGATTAGGATTAAGAGAGACTTATCTTATCAGTCTTATCAAGATAGAACTGGAGGTCTCCTTATTCAGCAAGGAGTCTCCCTAAGAGCAGGACTCTTGTAATCTCCTATTTAAGGAGCCACTATTATTGAATAAAGGCATCGAAAATTTCAGTCAAGAAAGAGAGCAAGGAGAGTTAGGTGATCTCTTGGACAAATCACCATTAAGGCGCCAAGATAGGTACCTCAAGAAAAGGAAGGGACAAGGGAAAACAAGAGGGTTTTCCCGTGGACCAACCCGTGACGAGATCCTATTCCCGGGCCCTTAACACCTACCATGCCATCCATCATCATCAGCGTCGTATCTTCCAATCCTCCATTGTCAGTGTCGCATCTTCTTCCAATACCTGTATCTGCAACACTGGATCCTTATCCGTCTCCCCATCATTTTTCTGCCCATATCTCTTTTCTCTGTTTCTCCAATCTCCAACTCAGGGGAGGGCTGAAGTGTAGGGTCCAGATTCAAGATAAAGGACATGAGAAACTGAGATTACAGCTACAAGATACAGGACTGGAACAACTGGAATTAGGAATCAGGTAAAATATCAACTTCTTTTCATAACTTTTGAACCAAAAATTAGGGATTTTTTTTAATTATATGTTTACATATGCATGTTTTTAGTAAGAGAAGGTTTAATTACTCTTCTATTTCATGCTATTTGAATCAAAGTCCCTAAACCGCATTAGAAATCACACCAAACCATAATAAAATGGTGTGATTCCATTTTCTTAGAGGTGTGAGTCCTCCTAATGATTGGTATGACTTCAGTCTGGAATTAGAGTTCTAAGGTAAGTGCCAAAGACTGTAATTCAAGGCTGTGAGACTCTGCCCTTTACTCTCTTTCCCAAAAATTCTACTATGTTTCCAGCTTTTCTCAGGTTGCATACTTGGTCTTTTGACTGTGCTACATTAGGTTTTGAGCTTAATGTCTGAGAATTGTTGATTCACATTGGGACCATAGAAAAATAAAAAATTCAAATAAATTTGTTAAGGTGGAATTTTTCAATGAAAATCTCTTGAGGTTTTTATGATGATGGATTATATGTATCAATTTAATTAAAGGCATTCTGAGCAAGTTTTCCACAAAAGGATGAAAATTTTCTTTCAAAACGAAGCTGCCAAAATTTTGGAAAATAGGGGTTTAGATGGTTCTTTAAGATGAAATTTGATAGGACCAGAGCTCATAGAAACTTATGGGGGACAACATGAAGAATGTACCTAGATCAATTTGCTCGTCTCTCGAGACTACTTTATTTATCAACATAATCCTTCAAATATGAAATCTCAATTTCAATGAATAGAAGCTATAAGTACATGGTGTTAACCATTGCAGAATCTACGATGGAGATCAATGCACAGAAATTCAGTACGTAGAACATAGGTGCGATTGTGTGTCTGAGAACCAGGATCGCAAATCCACATCTTCCAAAACTCAGTGTGCAGAAATACCAAAGTCTGTGATGTTGCTTACAATATCGCATGCACTTCCCCTTCTAGTGGTAGCAATGTCACTCTAAGCACACTTGCGTAAGACATCATTGCAATGACAGCAATAAGGATGCCACATCGCATGTGTCAAATCGTAGAAATTGCAGCACAGGTTTAGATTCATAATCGCAGCAGAGGTTATGTGCCGTTCTGATCACCCCGCTAGCTGATCCGACATCGCAAAGGTCCACTAGGGTGATGCCAAATACGATTGTAGCATTGTGACACTACAACACCCTGGAATTGCGCCATTTCGATGCCACTCTCAAATACTTAGGCACTTCCATGAGAGGGATCACGCCATGTAATGACGGGCAAGATACAAACGTGCCCACATGCGGACTCTGAGGAGAGGGAATTCCCAATCGCACGGACACGTGGCGAGACCAGAATTTCTTAATCAATACCTAATAAATTGTAACCACCTTCCCACAATGGGAAAGTTTCCTTTGTCTTGCTTTCCTCTTAGACCCTGGCCTTTTGTTTATATAAGTAGGTGAAGCTCAAAGCCTTCCAGAGGGAGGACCCTTTTGGACTCTCACATAAGTCTCACCATTCTGCAACCCTGACCCTGAATTTTCTGCAACCTCTTTCCCCCCTTCTTCCCTCATCAACTGCCATTCTCTCCAAACTTTTGGAACATGAACATCAGTGCCGAGTTCACGGGATCAACAGAAACTTCCATTCAATCTCCAGCCAGCATAGAGATCACATTGAATCAGCTCTGACTGTGGAAAAAGAAGAGTCTAGGATTGGTTTCACCATTGGCATTAATGGAATTTCTGATATAATAGCCACAACTTGCAACTCTTGAATTAGTTGAAGTTGAACTTCTGAAACACACTCATATTATATACCTTGCACCTTACCTTCTTCAACTTGCTCCACTATTATATCTTAAAGCATTAACTTCAAGTTGTTCATCAATTTTAAGACTTTTCTCAATAATTTCGACTAGCTCTTGTCCTTAATTTCTTAAATTTCAATGTCTATAATTTTGGTAGATTGGAATTCTAGTTGAACTATATTGCCATGGCTTCTATATTCGTCATTGTTATCTTCATTAGCAACTTCTTTTACTTCATTCCGAATTTGAACCTCAGGATAAGCATTTTGAAAATGTAGAGACTCATTTACTCTTATCTTCAACTTTAGATCTTCTTCTCAATGGGCTTCAAATTCCTTGTGGCAGCCTACTTTAGTTTCTGCATCTTAAGATCTAAGTCAAAAGCACTGTTTTTGGGTTCTATTGGTTTTGGGGATTCTACAAGGGCTGAACCTTTTGCCATGTTTGGAGTACAAAAGCAAAAAATATGAACTTTGATAGGATAATTATGGAAGGTGATTCTCATGTGGTAGTTGGTTGGATAAGGGATAAGGAAAAGACAGTTTGGGATCATAGTGAGGTGTTAAAAAAGAATAAATTGTTGGCACAATATATGCTGATAAGAATACAGTGGGTACCAAGAGCCTTAAAGGGGTTGGCTGACAAGTCAGCTAAGCCGTAAATAGGGAACATATGTTTTGGTCACAGTTGTAATTATTTGTATTGGGGAGAGGTAGGACATTCTACCTCTCCTTGGGAGACTGTAGTGTATCTTCCCCACCATAATTTAGCATAAACAATTAGTTTCACTTATGCAAATTTAATCTTTTTATCAGTTTCTTTGACAGTAACATCAATTTAATTTGTTCTTATACCATACTACCAAAACAGCTGGATAGCAGTGAAAAGAGTACATAGCCAGCCAAAACTGGAAAAAGCAAAAAATAAGACACTACATTTAACCTATTCACAGCCATAGAATTCCCCATACAAGGGTTTCCCTGTTCTGATTTTTGCTAAATCATCAGCCAGAGCAATTGCAATAACCCATTGTAGTGAGCTGTTCAGAGAATGTCCTAATGTCTGTGCAATCTGACTAAAGGAATATTTATCCAAATTCCAAGGCTTTTTCCCCTTCTGATTTCATCCAAGAAATTACTACTTTGAAGTCCTCTTCAACAACAATATTTCTTCAATTGGTGAGGAAAAACGGAACAGGTATTGTTGTTTTCATCCCTTACCACCCCACCTATCCCTGAATCACCCGGGTTGCCCAAGCTGCAACCTTCAAAATGAAATTTAATTCTTCCATGTTCAGCTGCTTCCCATTCCACTTCTCTTTTCTGGTTCCTGACTTGAAATGCAGCCACAGATACAATACTTGTGGGTCATCCTCTCCTCTGGAATTTAGCATTTCCCTTTTCCTTATAAGATTCTTGGTAACACACCCCTATCGTCAACATTATTGGATCTGTTTCTTCCACGATCTTCTCAAACAATTGGTATATGGTTTAAAAAATCAGTTTTATGGCTATGAAATTGACAATAACTACACTTATAGATCTAGAAACAACAATAATTGCTTCAAAAAGTGATAGATCCTACAAGCATAAATTCATTGATGATTTTGAAGTAGAGCTGGAAAGCCCCCATGTTTGTCAAACTATAATCATTACGAAAAGCACTGAGTAGTTGGTGGATTGGCATCATAAAACAAGCTATTTAACAATGGAATAACCAGTAAGACTTTGTTTCACACACACACAGCTACAAGTATAAAACTCAAATCACAATTATTACTCGTACTCCAACTTAAAATGCAACTCCCATAGTACTTAATTAATGACTCCGAAATGTTAACCACAACTATTAAAAGTGCAACTCAAACTACAAGCCAAATCCCATGTATGATGCATAAAAGATAGCAATACACTTGCTGGTACAAAATCCAAAAATACCTAAAAATTTCATAAAATTCCATATGTAACCACATGGATCCTGAATTAGTGGGTCAGAAACTGATTCACCAAAGTGGTCTGAAAAATTCAATTCAACATCATATGCTCGAGAGTAGATGAAGTTAATGGCTTCCAGTCCATTGGGAAATTTTTAGGAAATTCAGTTTTGTATTATTTGGTCATTTTATGCAATGATATTTTTCAGAGGTGGGTTCCTGTCAGATTTCAGGTCCACCCCAAGGTTTTTGAACCACTTGTCCTCCAATAAAAGGTGTTTTTATCATCATGGTACAAGATCCTTGCCTGAAGGATTAGACATGGACGCATATGTTATTTTATTTTTCTTCTTTCTTTTTCTACTATTATCTGCCTGTCCCCTCCCATCTGTACTTGTGTATAAAACTTATTTTTCCCCTTGTCATCCAGGGTCATAATATCTGCAGACATTATAAACGCAACGGGAACTGTGGGTTTGGGCCAGACTGCAAATTTCACCACCCAGTAAATTGCAACTCTCAAGCTTCATGAATTGTGTGGTGTCCCCTCCAAGTTATCCCCATCTTTGGCATGAGATTGGAGGGTGGGTATGGTGGAATGTGGAAATGGTGGCCCCAGGTAAGTAATCAGCAATGAGCTTGATTGTATTCGTCCTGCATTCCATTTCTGGAAGGTATGGTCCTCTGTCTAGAAAAACAAGGTGGCCTCTGATAAGAGTTGTTGAATGTGGAAATGGTGGCAAAGCTCTTAACTAACAGTCTGCATGAGATTTTTGTATAAATGTATTCACATTTTCTATCAAAGAACATAACAAATAGAATAAAATGATGTGCAATTTCTTTTTTTTTTTATTTGGAAGGCAGTTTCTTGTTGCCATGGTTTCTGTAGGCTGACATATGTGTGTATGTGCTTTGTTTTTGTTTTTAATAGATGCTAGTCAGCACGGGCTTTATTTACAAGCAAAATTGAGGATGAAGCTCAATGAAAGTTCCAATTAAGTGGTACCCATCTTAGTCCAATTCAAGTATTTTTTTTTAATTATATCTAGTTTATCCAATCACAATCTAAATTGCGCTTTAGTGAGAGTGGTCAATTTCCTATTCTCTACATGAATTTGTATTTTTTTCTTAATTTTAATTTTAATTTTTTTTTCAAAAATAAATTTTTAATTAATTTTTATTGATTTATTGTAATTCTTTTATTATTTTTAAGTCAAATTATAAAAAACATCCAAATAACAGTAAACCACCTTTGTGTTTTGACCCTAACAATGGCCTCACCTGTAGTTTTGAAAAAAAAAATGAAAATACCTCCTTTGCCTCAACTTTTCAACAAAGACTTACCAAAATACCCTTATCATTGTTAACATATTAAGTTTCAACTTTATCCTCTACTGATTTATTTTGCTAGACAACCTTCAAAGAACAATTCTCCTTATTCTTCTTGGACAAAGTAAGTAAAAAGGATGAAGTGAAATAAAATTAATGCATTACATCAACAATTTTTTTTGGAATGATGACTAAAGGAAGGTATTTACACATTTTTTCAAAACAATAGAGGAGATTTTTGTTAAGGTTAAAACACTAGGAAGTTTCATAGGATTGTTAGAAAACCCGACTTTTCTATTTTTTTTATTTTTAAATGGAATTTAAAATAATTAAATTATATTTAAAATTAATATTCTATATTAATTTTTGAAATTAGTAAAAATTAAACTTAAACAAGTATATTAAGTTTTAATTTTTTGATAGAACTCAAGTTAGTTTTAAATTAGTAAAAAATGTTTATAAAACTAACAACTTTTAGATAATTGTGTATTAGTTTTATATATTAATTTTAATTTGATATTAGTTTTTTATTTATCTTATTCTTTTTATTAATTAATTTTTTTATGATATTAATAAAATATTTTTGTCAATAACAATAATTAATAATTGTTTAATTTTATTTAAGTAACTTACTAAATTATTTTGTTAGATTAATTAAATTGTATTATTTTCAAATGTTATATAAATGGATTATAATTTTAAGGTGGAGGTAGATTATTTAGTGTAATAATTTATCATTGAAAGTCTTAATTTCAATATAATTAATCTTTGCTAATAATTACAATTTAATGTAAATATATCTAATATATATTTAAAGTTAATGAATTTAATGGAGCAATGGAGATGAGAGAGAATTAGTGGCATTAGTTACTGAAGGAGAGTGTTAAAGGCATATGATTAATGAGAGTTTATTAAAAGAGTTGATGGAAAAGAGGAGAGAGAAAGAGAGAGAATTGATGGTAGGTTAATGAGGAGTGTTTAAAATCTTAAAAGTGATTGGTAAATACTTCAGTTATTTTATTCAATTTTAAAATTAAAAAATTTAAAAGAACCAGAAAAAATATAAGGGACTTTGAGAGAACCAAAAAGCAGGAAAGTGCCCCATTGGCACATTCCATTTTAATATAATAGATAAGTGTAAGTTATACATTTATATATCTACAATAACTACACATATGAGTAAAGTAGAACCGCCCAACAAAGTTTGGACCTTCTGACCACGATACATTCATCCAGTTGCATATTGGGAACATTTCGTGGGCTGATATTCCTGATGTGGGGCTGAATGAACTGGCCAACAATATAATGTGGTCAGCAGATTCGGACTATTATCCTTAAGCGTCTGGATTGTTTGAGAAATTTTATTGGGCTATTCTATTTTACCTCCAGTCCAATCCTGCTGGGATAATGTCTGGTTCTTTGAGTTGGGACAGGGCGTTTTTTTTTTGCAAGATAAATTAATTATATTATAATAACGAAACATTTACAAAGTTTTTTACATCCAGGATTTCATAAAGCAAAAGGAAGTGATCCTGTCCAGTAGATTTTGCTAATTGCACTACCTTGTGGGCCGGCCGGGAGATTGTAGCCTCTATTTAGAAAATAAAAGGAAATAGAGGAAATTTTTTAGCGAAGTCTTTTGGTTTGAAAGAAAAGAGAGTGGACTGCTGGTTCAATGCTTGGATCACTTCCTGAGAGTCCGAACATACTATAAGATCTGAGGGGGCCAAAAAAGTGACATTCTGAAGTGCCTGTAAAATCGCAAATAATTCAGCAGCGTTAATCGAAGAAACAGAATCCGCAAATACCTATACAATCAAAGTTGGGACTGGAGGTGTAAATCTGGCCGTGCCAACTACGGCCCGCACGGCATGGCACAATGGCGTGTGGGCTGTGTCAGGCCCGGCATGATGGTTCGTGTTGTGTTGGGCCTGGGGTTTGAAGTTCACGGGCCAGTACGGCATGGCTCACGGACCCATAGCAGGTTACGCTCGGCCTGCCCGAGAACTAGCGTTGGGGACTCTCCCCCCTCCCCCTTGCTAGTTTCAGCATTGTAGGGGTTATTTACAGAAATACCCCCCCCCCCTAATAGCTATATAGGAGGTATTTATGTATTTTGGTTATTGGGGGAGAAGAAATGATACAAATGCCCCCAACAATTATATAACAGCTAGTTTAGGGGGACATTTTTTCAATTCCTATAAATATAACCATATCCTCCACCATTCTCATCACACCAATTCAACAATTCTCTTAATCTCTTCTCTAGTTCTCATACTTTCTCAAGTTTCAATCTCCCAATCTCTTAAATTCTCAATTTCTCATACATTTTCTGAACTCTGATTGGTTGATTCTTCAATTCTCAACTTTATTGAAGTTTCAACAAGAAAAAGGCTTGTTCAACCGGCTTAAGTATCTCAAGTTAGCAATTTGGGAGCCTTGGACTCTTGGAGTTGAAAGGCTTCAACGTTGAAATCAATTTGGGATTCCGAATCAGTAATCTGGGTAAGTCTAATTAAATTAATTTTTATTTTTTTAGAATTTAAAAAAAAATGATCGGCTCCTCCTGAAACCAATTCCCCAATATGTTCAATGTCGATGATATTTAGTCACATCATGATAGTGTTAGCACCGATATGGATGCTATTGATATTGATGAAACTTCCACTCCTACTATAAATACTAAGGGAAAGAAAAAGAGGGCCTCTTGAGGGGAAGGGAAAAAGAGTTGTTTGCCAAAAATGTAGGAAAGACTTTAGCTATTGCAACAAGGGTGGTACTGGCCATTTGAGCAGACATTTGAGCACCCATGAGAATGAAGACGAAGAAGAAGAAGAAGGGAGAGAAACAACACAAACACAAATTGGGCGTAGAGGGGGTGGTACATTTAAATATTCTCAAGAAAAAATAGTGCAAGAATTAGCAAAATACATTGTACATGTTGAACAACCATTTATTAGCTGAAGATACTAAACTTGAAAATGGTTACGTAATTATGTAAATCCACAATATAAAAAGTTTATAGGAATACTATTAGATCAGATGCTTTAAAAATTTTTTATTCTTATAAATAAAATTTAATTTATATGTTATCAAATCTTAATTCTAAAGTTGCAATTACTTCTGATTTTGGACTTCTAAATTTAACATAAGTTGTATTTGTGTTACTAGTCATTTTATTGATGAAAATTGGTTTTTAAATGAAAGAATTTTAAGTTTTACTAGGCTTGACACTGGCCCAGTTATTGTTGCAAGAATTTTAAATACTTTACATGCTTATGGAATTGAGAAAAAACTATTTTCTATTAGTTTTGATAATGCTAGTAATAATGATTTAGTAATAAATATTTTAAAGTCCCAATTAAAACCATGTTTAAATGGTAAATTATTTCATATCAGATGTGCATGTCACATCTTAAAGTTATGTATTCCGGATGCTTTAAATATTATTTCTACTCATATTTCTAAAATTAGAAATTGAATTATATATATATATATATATATATATATATATATATATTAAAAGTTCTGGAGCAAGAAAACAAGAATTTAAATATTTATGTCAAAATTATAGTTTAAAATATAAACATTTTATATTAAATGTTAAACATAGATGGAACTCTACCTATGTTATGTTAGAAAGTTATATTTCTCACAAACAAATTCTTAGTAATTTTTATAATGCAAAAATGCCTAATGATATTATATTTGAGGAAGACTAGGAAATGACAATTTGTATAAGAGATTTTTTAAAACATTTTTATGATGCAACTAATGAAATATCAGGTATATATTATGCAACTAGTTGTAATTTACCTTATCAATTAATAGTGATTAGTGATTGTTTTGCAAAATATAGAAATAATCCACAATTTAAAAGTATTGTTGAAATAATGGAAAATAAATTTAAAAAATATTAGAAGAACATTTCAACTATTTATTGCTTAGCTACAATATTAGATCCTAGGATTAGGAAAGATGGTTTATATATTTTACTTGAAACATATTGTGAAAATACGAATATTGAAATTGGAAATAAAAAAGAAGAAATTAATACTTTATTATTTGAAATGTACAATTTATATGAATCTGAAGTAATAGGAAATAATTCTACAAGTTGTACAGCTGCATCTTCTATTGTTATGAGTTTCCCTTTGGCCTCTGTCAGACAAGGTTCAGAGTCGTTTTCAGGTAAACCTTTCTGTCCAGTGAGTGTTCACCCATCATATTCAGGTTACGCCAAGGTACCATGAGAGAGTTCCCATTTTTTGGTGAAGCCTCTCCCACATCGGTCTATGACGCCCCTATCATCTTATGAAACACTATGACAGATCCAACAGCAAATGGATAGCCCAATTTTATGGTGTGTTTCCTCATTACTGAAGGACCCATCATTGTGCTAATGACGGAAGACCTTTAGAGAATCCATCATATGGATCTCCCTATCTCATGCACTCATATTTGCTGGAGGGAACAAAATTACGCCCTAGTTCTAATTTAGGTCAAACCAGAGTGGCTTCGACTGACTTTTATAAAGTCATATTTCTGGTGGGCCTTAATCGGCTAGGGTTTCCACACGCATCCCTTTTCAGGGTAGTGGGGCCCACCAAGTAAGGAGGGGGTCATCCAATGACCTTAAGGGATGCCATGGCAATGATGTGCATTCAGCCATGGTATGCG